ATCCTTCTCTCACGGGAATCGAAATTTGTAAACGCTTCACAACAGCTTCTTCATCTTCTATTAAACATCTAATGGTCGCTCCTCCTTCTTTTCTTTGTATGTTAATCTTTGTGTGTTAGGGTCTCTCGTAGCCCAGAGGTTAAAGTGTTCGCCTCTCATTCAATAGGTCCTGGGTTCGAATCCAGATAGTGACATAACAGTTTTCTTCTCTAAAATTGTCTCCCTTCAACTCCTTTCCTGCTCTCTAGAAATGTTCTATCGTCTCCTTTCGTTTCCACTTTCTGCCCCTACCCTCTCACCTCCTTTCCCCCCTTCTCTGGGCTTCTGACTCTTTCTACAGCCTTTCCACTGCTACTCCGTGGCTCCTTCTTACTGCTATCTTTCATCCACACCCCTGACCTTATGGCAGGAAAGATCTACACCTAGCCTTCTCGGATAAGGGCGAAAAAATCTCGGAGGTCCCGTGTGCACGTTGCGATCGTTAAAGATCCCTTGGTAGTCCAAAATCAATAAGAGTTGACTTCAGCCGCCACCCGGGTAAAATTCAAACTTTCTTACCAACTGAAAATGTTGTGTTCCGCGCGCTCATATGACGTTATGCAGTTACGAGCGCCGTGAAACACGTACCAAACGAAGAAAAAAAATAATCTCAAGTAACACCTCTAATCTTAGGCATTTATATGGCCTGTCTGAGTTACAAGTGAAGTAGAACGCTTACTTTAACTTTCAAAACAGACGCCGGAAAGTTGTCGATGGAGTCATACAACTTTTACAGTTTTAATAGTGAGCAGTCTGAGAGGAAAGGCAATAGTGCCGTTACTTTATAAGTATGCCATGGGGGAACTGGTGCACTGAATGAACTGCTCCTTGAATCTACAGAGTTTGTAGGTCACTTGGTTCTGGTAACGACGGGATGATTACATTAGTAGGGTTTGATTACTGTGTTGTAAGATTTTATTGATTTTATTTTTACAGATGCTTGTTTTTCATGACGGGATGGTTACTTTTGTAAGGTTTGGTTACTTTTTTGTAAGGTTTTATTTTTGACGAGCTTGAGAGATTGTTTTTCCTGACACAACAAAACCGTACTTCTGCCGCTTGGCTGCTGTTTTTTAAATGTCCCTGTAGTCGCAACTTTGTTGTTGCTGAGAGAGTATAGTGTAATGACTTATGTAGATGGGAGTAAAACTAGGTTATGAAACAGCTGTAGTATATTTAGGAGAGATCTCCTCTTTTACCAGGTTACCTGTCTTATATTTTTGTACTGTGAGTTCACCCCTATACAACCTATTTGGTTCACCTATATCATGAGCTCACTCTCCTCCCCCCCCCTCCCTCACGCTTCCTCCACCCAAATCCCCCAACACGCACTCTCACGCGCTAATTGTCCAGTAGTTTACGTAAAAGAAGACTCTTTAACTGCTGTTGCTCTATCTCTTTCCCCAAAAAGATGGTTAGCTGGCGCAAGTAGGATTAGGCTACTTGCGGTAGTTTGTCCTGTAACGATTTCCTGTCTTTTGTAGTCTCAAATTGCTGCTGTTGCTTCTTGACAGTCGGTGCTTTTTGAAGTTTTGGGGCCTTTGGGTGCTCCTTGTCATGTTAGTTTGGCTTTGGGAACCTGCGAATTAGCAAGACCTGGGTGTCTTTTGAAAATTTCTGTCGATTTGTTTTTACAGTAGGAAAAACAAACCAGACATTAAGTGGGCTTTTTGAAATAAGGGTTATGTGAGTACACTTCCTTTAATTAGTTTTTGAATTTTTACAAGAACAAGAGCAAAAACACGGAGGGAGAGAGAGAGAGAGAGAGAGAGAGAGAGAGAGAGAGAGAGAGAGAGAGAGAGAGAATGGGAGATAGAGAGAGAGA